TAGCCAGTCCTGCCCATGAGTCAAACCAAAGCAAAAGCCAGAGACAGTGAACTCAGCTGATCGACTCCAGAGCAGTCATCATCTCCACCAAGAGTGGAGAAGGTGGTGGATAAGTCTTCAGGGACACACAGAATACACAATGAAGCTAACCAAGAATAAAAGGCATGTACTGTCACCCAGAATAGGGTGGAGGTCTTAGGGAGCCTGGTTTTAGAATTGAGCCTGGGTCTTTGCTGGGGGAAAGGGTGCATCTTTTCAAGCCAACTACAGACTCGTTAAGGAAAAAGCAAGCTAAGGATTCCTTTGTGTTTTCAGGGTCTTGAAGGTACCTGCCTAGCCCCTTTATCCAACACCATCTTCTGATTATACTCCTTATGTGTGCTCCTGCCTGGGTGGCTGCTCTCCCCCCCCCCCCCACTTCATCTTTGTGGGCTTAAGTTACTTTCTAGAAGTCTTCTTTCCAAGCATGCTGTAATGAACATACTCAACTATACTTAGGGATATATTTGATTAAAATGTTTTAAGATCTATTGCATACATAGAGATAATTCAGAGAGGAGGGGGGGAATAAAACACAGCCCTGAAATCTGTTTCATCTTTAACCTGAGTATTGAATGCTCCAGTTTGTTTTCTGCTATAGACATCGAAGAGTAATGAGACGTTGATCGTTTGCATCTTGGAATGTATTGCAAAGATGTTGACTTTGGGATCTAGTCCTCTTGCCTCCACCCTGCTGGATATGGTCTCCTAAGTCTTGTGGACAGTGATGAATAGTTTTGTGTGGACAGCACAAGGATACGAGGGACCACCGAGGGGTCAGAGTGGCGGTTCCTTCCCTAGACGCATGAACAATAAACTGTCAAAGCAAGCAGTGGCATCGCAAGGAGTGCCCTTACCTCTTCTTCCTTCTAGAGGGAGATGTTGGAAGCTCACTGAATTAACAGAAATTTTTGGGCATCCCATTCAGAAGAGCCTTTCCCTGTCAAGGAGGAATCCAACAGCACAGCAAACATATGCATTTCTGGCTGCCTTTCAAGCCGTATTTATTAACTAAGTGCTAGGGTGGAGGAGGGTTTTCTTGCCAACAGGATTCAGAGGACACAGCACTTGAAAGCACATCAAGGAACGAGCCATTTCTGCGACAAGCACAATCGCTGCCTGTAACGCCATTGGGGTCGGAGCTGTCTGCACTGACCGCATAAGCCACAGGCGAACTGAAGAACTTGAGGCACCTGAGATGAAACACAGCCTCCCAGTATATGAGGTGCTGGGACCAATCCCCAGAGCCACTGGAGTTTAGAGAAAAATAGCAGCTGGTCAGATGGAGGCCATTTCCGACTTTCCCCCACCATTTTAGGCACAGGGACCTTCCTGGAGCTGAACTCTTTCATATCCTGTTGTTGGCAAGGAGTAGCCTATTCACCAACGAGTCTACTTCACTCCACACACCCTTTGCAAAACAACATTTTTGGAAGAAATCCAATGACCTATGAAACCAACACAGGGAATATGCCAGGTAATTAAGACACAGGCAGGTTTTCTTTGGTGCCTCTCTGCCCCTGCCCACACTTCCCCCACCCCCTCCCCGCACCTCTCCCTGCTTCCAAAGTCAGAAATCCTCCTCCTCCTCCTCCTCCTCTTCCCTCCCCCACTTTGGCAGCAGTCCCCCTCCCCCTCCACTCCTTGCTGAGTGTGTGAAGACTGGGAGATTGGAATAAAAGGGTTCACGTCAGGTAACAGAGCTGGCACATGCTAAACACTTAGCATTATACAGCCGCCCCTTCAGAGTGCTCCGAATCCATCAGTCATCATGGAAAAATTAGAAGCTTTACTGGGTTCCTGCCTCTCCAAACAGATCTTCTCAGCTCCTTAATGCACTCCATAATTCAGCATTTGAGAACAGAGCCTCAGACCAACAAGACTGTCTCTGTAACACACTGTCAGGCAACTTGGAAAAGACAGAGAGGAACAAGTCAAAACAATCAGCAATTTCATTAAGGGGCTAAGATTAATTTTGAATGATGCCCAAGTCTGACTCACATTGTCAATTATATATAATCTCCGTGAGCAGGCCATTTTCCCAACTCACTGAAACATCTGCACATTTCAATGGGCTGAGCTTTCCCTCTCCACTGCCCTCTGGCTGTTTTTGTTGTGGATTATGTAATTTATTGAGTGATGCAATAAGGAGAAGAATGCCTTCTACCTGTGCTTTGCACATGATGGTGTCCAATGATTAGGGAAATGGGCTAAATGGCCCAGGACCTTGGATTTCAACACCCTAATTTGCTCTGTGACCTTAGGCCTATTACTTCCCCTCTCTGCATCCGCTATAAAATTGATGTGGAGCAACTACACTTGCCTCTGTCATCACTGGATCTGAAACAGACTGTAACTGCCATTCAAACAAGTGCTGGTCCTTGAAACAAATACCTGGAAGATTGGGGCTAAGATTCCTGGAAAGTGCACAACGGGCATTATCTCAAACAACAAAATATTGCCTTTATGATCTCTCTTTGCATTCAGCTATAGGAAACTATGTTTAAAAGGGGGCTCACAGGTAGTGGTGCATGCCTGTTACAAACGTACTTGGGGATGTAGAAGGAGTAGGAGTTCAAGGCCAGTCTCAGCTGAACAGCAAGTTCAAAAACAGCCGGGGCTCCATGAAACTCCATCTGAACGAACCAATAAAACAAAAAGCGAAAAAATTGTAAAATAAAAAGAAATTTACATTTTTATCTACCAGTGTCAAGCAGAGCAAAAGGAATTAAAGAGATCATGGATCTGTTAAAAGCAAATAAAACATCACATTTTATTTTTTTTACCTCAAGATGTATCTCACAAAATCAACTGAAAAATATGTCATAAAGCCACTAGAAGAAAATGAGTTAATATATTTTCTTTAACCTTACAACTTTCCTACAGATGCCATAAAATCCAGATGCTCCAGCAGGAAACTGATGAATTTACTGTAGAAAACTTCCTTGAAAAACCAGATACACACAAAGCAAACATATCAAAGAACTGGAGGCAATGTTTGCATTTGACATGCCAGAAAAGACAAATGCCTCTAACATATGACATGCTTTTTAAAAATCAATATAAAAATTAAGCAAATACAAAATTAAGCAAAAGACATTTTAAAAAGAAAAAAAAAAGAAAAGAGACAAAAAGACTGACCAATATATGGCAAGAACCACAGCCTTGTTCACAGTGGACACAAAGGGAAGATAAAAATCAACATAACATCCTTTTGATTGTCAGACAGACTAACATGCCAATCAATGTTTCTGCCACCCCTGACTGGTGTTCCATGGACAATGGACTTTCCACAGCCTAATGGCTTGTGTAGATGCTTGAAAGAGTTGATAAACAGACAAGATATATTAAAATTCACTTATAAATTTGGTGATTCCCTTCCAAAAATTTGTTCTGCAGACATGCTTCCAAAAATAATCAGAGACTATTTACTTTAGCATTGTTGGCAATCACAGAAACCTGGGAACATCTACATGGAATAATGTAGACCATAAGAATTAGAGCAGGTCTATATGTAAGATGACAGGAGCTGTCACAGGGATGTTTTTAAGAGAAGAAAGCAATGTCCAAATTAATAAATGTAGAATAACCCATGAAAATTTTTTTTAAAAGGATCTATATATAAGAGAAGGGCAGAGGCGTTTAAATGGACTTTTCCTATTGCCTTAGAATCTTGGCTGTTTCAACACTTACAACAGTAAGCAGCATTTACCCCATTTTCTAAATGGCAGTTTTATATTATCATTTAAAACTTTCTTTTGGTGAAGGGAGCCCTATATACTATCTCTTAGCATGTCATCCACCCTCAGTCTCTGTCTAAGAAGCTATTGGAGATTGACCAGAGAAGGAGGGGAGAGCCTGAAGACATGTCATGCTCACATTGGAGTTAGTGCTCCATGGCGTTTCCCCACATCCAGAGAAGGGTCGAACAGAGAGAAAGTAAAAGCTCATTTAGGAGAGGAGGGAGGCTTCCCAGAGGGAGACAAGGCAGCTTCCCCGCCCCTCAGTCAGTCCTTGTCAGGAGTGAATGCTCCGAGCTGCTGTTCCCGCAACAGAACAGTGAAAAAAAACCAGTAGCGGAGGTTGCCGGGTGTACCCTGGATCCTGAAGCACCCATGCGCATGTGTACTGCCTAGAAAGAAAGGCTAAAAGCCAGACCGAAGGTGTTTTAGTTACTTGTCTTGTTGCCGGGACAAAAATAACTGACAAAAGCCACTTAAGGAAGAAAGTTTTTTTGTTTTGTTTTGTTTTTTTAAATCATAGTTCAAGACTATGGTCAATCAGGGCGGGAAGGCATGGCCGCAGGTGTTTAAAATGACTGGCCACATTGTATCCACATCCACATAGCGGAGAGCAGTGAGGGTTGGCGCTCAGAGCCTTTATTCCTCTGTATCCAGTCTAGGACCCCAGCCCATAGAGTTGTGTCGTGTACATTTAGGGTAAGTCCTCCCACCTCAATTAACCACATCTACAAACTTCCTCACACATATGCCCCGAGATTTGTTTCCAATTCTAAATCCCATCAAGTTGACAATCCAGATAAAGCATCACAACTCCACTCCTTGTCAACTTGACACCCAAACATTTCACTTTTAAGCCACAACTTTGCACCCCTTGTCAATACTAACCATCACAGAGGGTATTAGGAATGACCTGCTATGATAGAGCAAGGAAAAAAAGGCTCCCATGGGAACAAGACATTCTTCCAGGGTTCTGGTGCAGCAAAGTTTCCAAACCTTTCCAAGGAGCCAAATGATTATCCCAGAAAGAACTTACACATACTCGGTAGAAAAGTCCTTGCTACAGACTGCAGCTTGCTGGGGCAGGACTCTCTCAGAAGGCACATCCTGTGAGAGCTGGGGAAATGTAAACGCCCATTTGGGGA